ACCTTTTTCCTTTTTCTTTTCAAATTTCCATCCAAATCTATAATTCAAATACAGGCTAAATATTGTTGCAACTAACAAAGTAATAATACATGTGAGATTTGATTATAATTAACAAAGAAGTGGAAATAAATTTGAAAGAACAAACAATTCATATAATATATGCATATGGATGCATTTTTTGTCACTCGCAAATAATAACCATATGGGGATGTTTGTTTGGAGGGATTGAGCCATGAGATAGGATTCATATCCTGTGGATGGAATACTCCGTTGTTTTGTTCAAAAAGTTTACACCGGACTAATAGTCTGGACTATTAATCTCAAATATATAAGATTGTTCTATCCCATGAGGGGAATGGGACACAAATCTTAGGATAACTCATCCCATGAAATTAGATAATAAAATTACATTTTAACCCTCTACTATTTAATTTTTTTTTAAAAAGAAAATTTATTTATTAAATTATTTATTAGAGCCATTTTGTTAGTTGGAATTATTTATTTTAATAATTATATAGTATTAATTATACTTAGTAAAGTAAAATAAAATTTAAAAATCTCAACTACAAATTAAAATAAATTTATTTAATTTTTATTAATATTCGATTTATTTAATTTTTTAAAAGTTCTAGTAAAAAAATTAAATAAAATTTATGATGCAGATTTAATATTCCTATTATTTAGTAAACAATTCAAAGGGATAAAATAGTCTTTTGAGCATTTATCATTCTCCATAATATCCCAAACAAACATAAGATTCAATAGAATAGTCCAATTCAGACACCAGCCCAACCAAATAGTCCGGGGACAATGTATCTCAGGATTAACAGTCCGATAAATTGCAATCTCCCTTATCCAATTATTCTCATTGATGCAACAAAACAAGCCATAGAGTAGCAAACTAGTTCTATAAATTATTTTTTCTTGTTTATTAATTCAGCAAATTTCATTTTCTCCCCAAACTATACTAATCAATTTCATATCCAAACTTTTACTATTGTCAATTTGTCCCATACCTATTTAAATCATTATCTTTTTTTTGGGTACATCAGAAATATTTTAAATCGTTAACAATTGTCCCCTACCGTCACATTTAAACGGAATTTTTTTTTAAAAAAAAAATTATATTTTAGCCCCAAATTACAAATTGTAGATTCAAATTCAACCATTATCTTCTCCTCTCTCACCCAAACAACCCTCTCTCCTCTATTAACCAAACAACCATCACCACCACCATCACCATTACCACATCAGTGGCACCCCCACCACCACCAACCATCCTATAAACTAAGAAAATTCATCAAAGAGAAGATATACTTCAATTTACAAACAATCATATTATGAAACCCACTTAGATTCAATAAATCCAACCAAACTAATTCAATCATTGACAATAGAATCATTGTTATTGCAACACAGACGATATTGCATAATCATCGGGAGTTCCAGATGAAATTTGAGCCAAACCCATGTTCAAACAATCAAGAAGATTGAGCTCTGGACACATCATTGGAGTTCTTGCAAGAGAACTCAAGATCAATCTTTGGATCGGTAATCCTCTCTAATATTTGATTTTCTTGCTGTTCTTCTTCTCTTTCCTCTTGTGTCCTCTTTTGGGTTCTCCATTGATGTAGCCTCTGGTAAGTTGATGAAACTTGAAGCCTTAAAAGGACATGGTTTCTTTGTTAGTGGTTCCATTGGATATAATATTTTGTGAGCAGCCTCTATTATGAAATTTGTTGTGATAGCATGTGATAAAATATTTGTTGATGGGAAGTAAATGATTTATGCTTTGTAGAGAAGGATACTATTTTACAACATTTGAGAGAAAGAAAGAGGAAATTTTATATAGCAATCCCGGTATTCCCTGTTGTTGTTTAACTGTAATCCAGACTTGGTTCCGTAGATTTGTTGTTGTCTTATCCTCATTTCTATCCCTTACTCTTTGTTTTAGAGTTTTGGGTTGTGTTGGGCAAGTTGGGAATAAGTTGGTTGTGTTTTTAAAACTTAGAATTTTGCCCAGGTTTTGGTCTATCCGCTCAAGCGGCGCTTTGACGCTCGAGCGGGCATTTGTTGTTGCCTCTCCGCTCGAGTGGCAGTTTGGATGCTCGAGCGTGAATTTCCTTCTCTCAGCATTTTGGTCGTCTGTAGAAAATTCTGGGAGGGTGCATCCAGCGCTCGAGCGGCTCTTTGGACGCTCGAGCGTGAACCTGTGTCTGACGCTCGAGCGGGGTGTTGTACGCTCGAGCCGACCTGTTTTATATCAGTCCGTAAAATCACTTTTCGAATCACTTTTCACTTTTCTTTTCTCTCTCTTACTTTCCCAAAACCGACTTTTGAGAGCTCCTCACTCTAAAACCTAACTTCTCTCTAGGGTTTGATCTAGTAGGAGTGTTTTCCTCACCTTGGGCCTTTGTAAAAAGTGTGTTGATCGTCGAGGGTTTCGTTTTGATCCAAGAAATTTGGGATTTGGAGCACTTCCGAGTTTTGCTCTTCTTCTCCTTGGGTTCTACATTTGAGGTAGGGATTTCCTTGTTCTTTTTCAATACTTCGTCTATAGATAGACATGTGGTAGTTTTGTATTGCATGAAAATCATATCCACGTTGGATTTGTTTGAAATCATGAGAAGGAACCTAGGGTTGGTTGTTTGAAAAGGGTTATTTTATCATTGATGGTTGTTTTGGGCTAATTGGAGTGTAAATTAGCATGTTATGGTTGAAAGAAGAAAAAGTCCGAAATTATATTTTAATTTGGTAAATTAAAATGGAGGGTAGTTAACCTATGTTGTAAATCTCTATTGTTAATGAAAGTTGGGTGAAGGTGTTAATGCCTAAGGGGTTAACTTTGGCTTTGGAATGGTTTTGAAATGAATGTAGTGGACTAATGTGAGTTATGGCTTTATTATCAACGGAATTGGTTTTGTAAAACAAAAGGAATGGAATTGGTTTTGTGGAAACAAAAGGGATGGAGTTGGTTTTGTGAAAACAAAAGGAAATGGAATTTGTTTTGTGAAATGAGAAAAGTATTTTTGAGCTATAAGATGAAAATTGGATTATTGTTTCTGAGTGTTTAATACACACACGTAGGGGTTGTATCTTTAACTACCGTTTTAGTGTTGTTGTTGGGTTTGTGGTCTCATAGTAATTGAGTTTTAATAGATGTACTAAATACTTGCATCTAGAGATTTTGTCCTTGGTCATCGGTGGAGGATGAAATGGTTGTGTTGAATTGTCGTTTGTATTTTTTTGGGCAATTTTTATTACCATTGTTGATTGAACATCATATGTGATGAAGTGTTGAGATACATTATATATGTATACTTGCTCGGGGGGAATTAATTATGTGTTCATATACTTTAACACATTGCTTGTATCTTGATGGTTTATGTATATGTGTTATACATGTTAGTTATGCCCTGTTGTATTTTGGTTGGTGGTGTTATACCTTGCGCTAAAAATCAGAGGTACCGTGACCTTCCAGCTAGCACCTGGAGAACTGACTGCACTGAGAATCTAAGGCACCACACCCTTCCAGCTAGAGCCTGGTAAACAGGTATGTTGTTGTGAGAGGTGTATCTTTGGCTTACTACGCACATAGCTAGTAGAGCAAAGTTTTGTTGTTGTTGTTCCATTGTATCTGAGGATATCATGGATTTGGTTGGTTACAGTTTCGGAGGGCCAGGTTACCTCATTGGTTGATTATATACATGTTAGTGAGTTGTTATCTCCGTTTTTACAAAGGTATGCATGTATAGTTATGATTGTATTGGGAACGAACCAAAATGTCATTTTGTCATTTGGAAAGTGTAAAGGAGATTGAACATTTTAAAAACAAAAATAATTTTTGAAAAGGCACATCTGTTGTATGTATGGAAAATTGGAAGAGAGTAATGGACTTAGTGAGATTATTTCCTAAGAAATTGTTAACGTTATGAAAGGTTGGGGTTAGTGAAAGAAAAAGGAAAGATGAATCGCTTATAGCGTTGAATGAAACGACTGTTTTTGAGAAAGTTCATAGGTATGTATAATTTGTATAAACTGTCACATTACTATTCTAGTATGAGATTGGGCATTCATGATCATAGCTATCTGTAAGTTGTTATTGTTGAGGGCCATGTTGAGATCCCTACTGGACTATATGTTCATCCCACGTTGTTGAATCTTTTTCAGGTGTTAAGCAGGATGTGCTACAAGAATTGGATCTCCTTATTTTTTGCCACGGGGCCTATTTTGTATTGGCAGAATGCCATATATGTAAAAGGGTTACACCCTTCTTCTTGAATCTTAAATGATGTAAACCCAAGGGCAATCTATTTAAATATGCTCATGTTGTATTTACTTTGCATACGAATAAGAGAGTTGCTATTCACTTCTATGAGTTGAATATATGAGTTTGTTTCCGCATGTTATCTCTGAAATTAAATTAAGTTAATGAATTTGGTAATACCTCGAGTAATTAAAAGTGGGGCGTGACATTTTACAACATTTGAGGATACTAATCAACTAGTCTGATTGAGTATATACTGGAATTAGTTTGTTTGGATTTATTGAATCTAAATTAGTGAATTTCATTATTATGTATGATTGTTTGTGAATCAAAATATATCTTCTCTTTCATAAATTTTCTTAGTTTTTAGGATGGTTGATGGTAACGGGAGCGGTACACTGACATGGCAATGGTGGTAGTGGTGGTGGTGGTGGTGATGGTTGTTTGGCTGATAGAAGAGAGAGGGTGGTTTGGGTGAGAAAGGAGAAGATAATGGGTGAATTTAAATCTATAATTTGAAAGTTAGGGCCAAAATATAATTTTTTTTTTTTTTACTTTTTTTGTTTAAATGTGACGGTAGGGCAAATTAATAACGATTTAAATAGGTGAGGTTGTAAGTTGACAATATCAAAAGTTCGGGTGTAAAATTGATCAGAAGAGTATACTTCAGGGGGAAAATGAAATTTTCACTTCCTATTTTTATTGCACCTATAGTAATGTAGCTACATAGTTGTGAGATCAATATGAATTTTACATTTATAGTACATGACATCTAGACATTTATCATATATGTTTTCAGTAAAGAAATTTTGAATACATTGATTACATATAACAATGGAAAATCAATAGGTATCAGAATGTACTACTCATTTTTCATTGTTTGACACGGACTCTGGAAGTTTAAAGGTGGGAGGTTTATCAGCACCCCTTCTCGAGTACTCTCTCCATCTCGTATATATGTTTTCAGTAAAGAAATTTTGAATATATTAATTACATATAACAATGGAAAATCAAGAGGTATCAGAATTTACTACTCATTTTTCATTGTTTGACACGGACTCGGGAAGTTTAAAGGTGGGAGGTTTATCAGCACCCCTTCTCGAGTACTCTCTCCATCTTCGAGATGCTGCAGCAGCTCTTTGTGCTCTCTCTTTTGCTTCCTCCTCTGCAACCACTATTATATAAAGCTTTATTTAAAATTTTAAACTAAAAAGTGTTGGCTACATTTTGAGACAATTTCTGCCGTGTGTATGATTTGTACCGATGCAGAAACCATACAACCATTACAGAAGCCAACAAAGTAATAAGCATCCAAGGAGCGAAAATTTATTTTTATTCTACAAAATCCACCAGGGTGGCACATTTAAAATTTCAATTTTTTTTTTTAGTATTTGCAATGAACACTATAGATTCAAGTGCTTTGAGTTCTAGCCTCTTTGGATCTTTACAAATGCTAAAACTGGCGACAATACTATGTATGGAATCATAAAAATTTTTCCAGTGCTTCTCCCAATCAACTAAGAAGCATGGACACAGGATACAACGATTCTCAAAAAATTATAATACCAATGCAGCAAGATACTGAAACAAATATATTTTTATTTACTATTTATATTAATAGACATTAAGAATACATAGATATGAGAGGCATCGATGCATATATGGATATATTTTTTTTCGACACCAAATCATCCTTCTAAATTAAAAATAAAAATTCTATAAAGGTGTTTGGCCTGTCCATGAAGTGTCCTTGACATGTTCTATAATAATACTAATAATAATAATTTTAAAAATTGAACCCCACAAGGCATGTCAGACACGTCGACACCTGTGTTCCCGCACAACATCCATCTTGGTGTGGTGCTTCTCAGCAAATATACCATACACTCGAAAGCATTAACCTTGTGTTCTTTGCTACTACCTAGTCTAAACTTGGCCGAATTCAGGTCTAAACCCTTTAAACCTCAGCTCCTACCTTTTCACTCAAAAAACCCTTACAATTAAACCCTTTCCCACTATTTATTATAGGGGAGCTTTCATTAGGCTCCATCCTTCAACAAGTAGGGCTTCTTCCCAAAGTACACAAAACATTATTTTGGACAGCATTTTACCAAATGGAAAGAAATAATAAATTTCAGTGGAAAGGTCAGTGCAAGTTTGCATGTCATATTATTTTACCACATTCTACAACTTTAGGAACAAACACATGCCTACAATGTATACTCAATCGAGCTAAAGAATTCTTGGAAACATATGAGAGAAACAATAGAGCAGCTATTTGCACTTGACAAAATATTTATATCAGAATAATAGAAGTAGAATGCTTTCCATGATTTTAAACATCAAAATCAGCAATTTTCTTTATTGAATCCTTGTTACCTGTATTTTGATAGTCTCTGGGCTTACCCCAGAGGTTGCTCCAATATGATTCAGTTTGATCAGAACCTTTCTGCTTCATCATCCTCACTTTAGCTTTTGCCTGGACACAATATATATAAGCCATTTGTCAAACCTAACACTGATTTGATTTATAATAACAAAAATCAATGAACATAACAAATATACCTGCCCGGTGAAAACAAATATGAGCAGCATTAAAAGATGAAACTTGATGCAGACAATATCCAAGGTCAAAACATAAAGAAAATCTTAGGTTTAATATATATCTCAACTGGAATGCCATCATTCTCTTGCCATTCCATGTTTATAGCTTATTTAGGAAACATTTGCTTCATTAATACAAATAATAATTGACATGTGAAATTGTAAGCAATGCAGTTTAAAAATGCATTGCTAATAATGAATAAATAAGATTACAAGAAAGGCTTTTATAAAATCAAAAAAAGTATAGAGATGAAAAATATTGAGACACCAAATAATAGCTGAAATCCAATACAGAAGACCCACAAAAACACAAAAAGAAAATGAAGAAAAAGGAAAAAATATCAGAGTTCTTACCAAGATTTTAGCTTGTTTCTTTTCCCATCGAGAGGTTGCCTGCCACATTGGAGTAATTTGATGAAAAATAATAATCAAATACATTAATACTGAAAGGATTAAAGTACGCTAGCAGTTTAATTATCTCTATCAGAGATCTTCCTAAGAGACAAGGTCTGCTGCTAGAAAACTTCTCAAGGTTTTTCATGATTTTGCCTATTGATGACAGCAATAAGTATTAAATGTGGCACCACCATCAAATAACTACTGACTAATGAGCTACAAATATCAAATTATCCATTCCTTGTACCACAACCTCTCTGAAATGCCACCTGAAGAACTTAGTAACCGATTAAAGAACCAGCATTTAGAAATAAATGAAGGAATTTGTGAGCATAATTTGACACTTTATTCAATAAAAGAAAGTTGTCAACAGGAAAATAATTAAATTCCATCCAATCCTATCAAAATCTCAAAAGGTGTTAATAACACAAGGCGTTGCGCCTGAATACCTGAATCAAGTTTACTAAACCACACAAGGCACAAAAGAAGCATAAATATTTTAGGTTCTTTAAATAGATTGAGCACTACTACATTTCAGGAGATTTTCAGAGACAATGAGGCATGATCAAACCATTCAACTAAACCATGTTCTGATCAATTAAACAAATAATAGTCTCCAAGATGACAACATTAATTCCTACACGAAAGTTCGACTCTCCTAAGGAGTGTAAATGTTATCCATCACAGTGAGTTAGTTGGTCGTGTGAAGCAAAGTCTTACATCGCCCAATTATTATTAAGCATATAAGCGTGAGGGCACCCTCACCCCAATAGCTAGCTTTTGGGTTGAGTTCTACCCAAGACGGTGTAACATGGTATCAAAGCCGGAGTAGTCAAGTATGGGTAGGGTGCATGTCCCTAGTCTGCACATCGCAGGTGCTGCCAAGTGAGCACGCTGGGCGCAAGGAAGGGTGTGAAGCAAAGTCCTACATTACTAAAGTAATATTAAGCATACAAGCGTGAGGGCACTCTCACCTCAATAGCTAACCTTTGGGTTGAGTTCTACCCAAGACCGTGTAACAGGCAGGCCATCATTCAGTTCACCCCTAGAGGAATTGTACAATGAACAATTAAGAATTTAGGTCTTACCATTCTAAAAACATCCACTGAAGATCCCATTCCTGAAAGCATCAGTGCAACCTGATTGTCATTAATGAAAATCGTCAAATTTTAACTATTTTAGCTTTATTTTTAATGAACTTGACAAATGAATAAAGTTATCATGCACAATACTAAGGCATACTTTTACTGTGAGATGAAGATTTTCTTCCTTTCTTTTTTTTCAAAAGTAACTGACAATGTCATATATTAGAAGATAAGTTTTGAAAGATTATTTGGTCTCTTCAAGGTGTCCTGATGAATTCATCTCTACAGTAGAATATCAAGCAAGAAAAACTAGTCTCTAAAAAAGATGTAACTCAAAAAAGAAATTATGAATTCTATGCTAAGAAACCGATGAAACCCAAATAATATCATGTCTAAAATGCAAGTCATGCCCAGATATTCGGATTTTGGGGCTGATTTTTGGGCCTGAACCCATTTTGAAAATGATGTTAAATCCCTTGGATCTGCAATAAAGATATTATTTAAACTTGAAAATAGACAACAGCAAGCCAAAAGTCACAAATTCTGTAAACTATAAAGAGGTGATATCAGATACACATAAATTATTGTAAAATAAACTGTGAAGCAATGAAACTTTAAGCGTGTGCCTTACATTTACTCTTTCTACCCTCCGCATTTCGTCTTCAAGCAAAGATAGTTGTGCAGCAGAAGTCCAATGGATGCAATCAACTGGGCTGAAATGAAAAAAGAATTAACTATCTAAAGACATCCATTGTACTAACTTTTTAACATGCGACAAATATTCTATGATTACTGATTATTCAGATCTCGTCAAGAAACCATAAACCAGCTAATGTACTTGGTTTCAGGAGCTAAAATATCAAGAGGTCTTGCCAAAACCAAAGTCCAGGTAGGTTCATCTAGCATCTACTTCACATTAGTTCGAAACTTAGTCAGAGTTGTCCAAAGGTGACACCATCCATTAAAATATTCACATAAAGGGTTAACGACAAAGATCACTGGGTTTTCCCTTACCTTAAATCAGCTAATATATGTACTATAAATGCAGGGAAGTTGATCATTCTTACAAGTTGATGTAAATTATATAGAACAATTACACAACAATTGTAAATCATGAAGAGCAGACTCAAAAACAGATAAGCACCAACTCTCCAAGATTCTTTGGTCTATTTGTTAAAGGGTGTTTGAATGTTAAGAGAAATGTGTAAAAGAAAAATAAGTATGTTACCTAAAGATAATTGGCAAAATACAGAGAAAAAAGGAAGAAATATCAGCTTCATTCCTTGAACACTAAAAAAATAAAAAAATCTTCAAAAATGACGTCTTGTTAATGTATGAGAGGGTTCGAGAATGTTGCCAGAAAATTCGAAGGTTCACCGGAAAATTTGACGGAACCTTTGAATGTCTGCCGGAAAATTCGAAGATCTTCGAAGATCATCGAAAAACCTGAATTCTTTAGAAATAATGAGAGGCTTAGATTCTTTAATGGTCGCAACTAGAAACACAATAGCAAAGAGATGATGGAGATAAGAGATTGGGTGAACAAGAAGGCAAAGTAGTTAGAGAGAAAATAATGGCAAGACTTTCCCATGGATCTCTCACTTTCACTCTCAAGGTAGATAATGGAGAAGAGAAATTAGTTCTCTTCCAAAAATTGTCTCTCCAAAATCCATCTTCATGTAAAACTATAGGTGGGTGCTCTTTATAAGCACCTCTTGATGTAGGATGGAGGCAATGTGCAAGGCACATGAGGAATATTCTCTCTAACCACTTTGTCCGAAGAAATGACCTCTCTGAAGATGAGAAAAATCCCGAAGAGGAGATCAATCTCTCGGCAAACCCTTCTTCTTAGCCACACCTAACCAATGATCCCCAATCATCCCAAAGGGGTTAGGGGTAGTCTCAGAGGACACCCTACCACAGAAGGGTCAGGAGTAGTTCAAGAGAACGCCCTGCCGCAAATATCGCCGAGTCTCAGGGATTCCCTGGATTGTGCCACCTCGACCCGGGTATAAGATAGTTTAACTGAAGAGTGAATTTATCTCCACTCACCGTCCTCGGGATCGGGTCCTTTATTCAGACTCCGTCACGTCCATGGTTCTGATACGTAGATCCTGAAAAGCTCCGAGCCCGTAAGTGTTCTGGAACTCATTAACGGAGCGACTTTTAGATTGCGTTCGAATCCGTTCGAATCCAAGTGCTTCGGATCTCTAGGTTCGTGTATCTGAACCCTTTTGAGTCCGAACTCAAATAGGTCTCTAGATTCGTGGTTCCAAACCCTTTCGAGACTAAGCAAATACCTCGGAGAATGGATCTCCTCCGAGGGTTTCATCTCTTTTGAAAGCAATGATCAACCTTCTCGGATGCCCGTATGATCTAGGCCTCCTTGGATGGGCCTGTTGGGCTTTTCTTAGAAATATAATCTTGTTGGGCCTCTCCGGCCAATTTGGTTAGTTTTTTCGCTAGTCCATTCAATAGAATTCATTTGAGGCCACTTGGTGATAATTTTTCCGGACCCATTAATTTTTGGGCTTTCAAATTGGGCTCCAATTGGACCCAATTAATTCAATGAGCTCAAGTTAACCCCTCTTACAGTTAAAATAACAATGCTTTGTGTCTCTAATCTATGTCACTAAATGACAAATAAAAGTAACAACTTAAGAGCTATACAATAGTGCAAAAAAGGTTTGATTCGTTTTTTGCCAGAATAGATAAAGTTAATACTCGATGATTGAAGTAAAATGCCTGCAACTTTTTCACTTTCTGACTGTACGCCTGAGCAAACCATAATTAGTGCATCATAGCCATAACCATTGATCAAGAACTTACCAACTATCTATTGCTTGTTGAACTAATTCAGGTTTCCCACACTGACTATATGCTCTGGCTCTTCCAAAATCTTCCTCAATGCCAAATACATCTGGGGATACATTGGCACAATTTTTACAACCTGTGGACAAAAAATCGTTATATTGTAATTCAAAGGTATCATAACCCATAGATTGCTACAGAGGATGACACTGACACAGCTATATATCAAGAGTAAGTAGAATCTCTCCAGCCTTGTTTCTACACTCAAACAAAATTAAATAAAGATCTAAAAATAGCATTCAACAGACAAGGAATAATGTCTTAACCACTCACAAATGAAAATTTAAGTAATAGAAATCTCATAAGCATTAAGAAAAAGGCTTTTGTGTTGATTACAGAGTCATTGATCTTCACAGAAGAGGTCATTTTCAAACAATTTGCATATTAGGGAAGTTAAATAATGCTGAAGCCAGAAACACTAAAGAGGTTTTCAGATTTTCAGAAATTCTCAGGGGTAGCTAATGTCAGATTTCAATTGTGCTCTTCCATTAACTCAATACTTTTTACATCTATAATGGAGATTCCTGATAAACTCTGAATGTACCTATGCAGCTAAACTCATCGACAAATACGTGATCCTTTGGGCAGGAATCATCCAAGAAAGGATTGATTGCAGTCAAAGCATACCCATGAATTTCATCGTAAACCATGCGCTGCACAGGATCACTGAGAACCTACACTGCAATAGTCCATTTACAAAAGAAGCACAAGAAAAAAATTTATATTCAATTACTCAGATTTTCAAGCATTCCATTTCCAGTGCTAACTCACCGCATAAACATCATTGATGAACATACAGAAATTTGTGGTCTCTGGGTCATTACCACTCAAGTCTGGATGGCAAGCTTTCATGCAATTATAGTAGGCTTTCTTAATCTGCTCTGGTGTGGCATCTGGAAGCTGGTAAGATAAGCCAAGCAAAGAAAAAAGTGTAAACTTCAACAATGATTCAAGTACTGCACAAAATCTGAGAAGAAAGAACATAGAGACAAGCATTATCACTCCGTTTGTTACGGTGGAAAACTTATTCTATGTATAACTTTTTCCAAAAAATATTTTCCATAGAAAAAGTTTTCCTATTTTGGTTGCATCCTTCAAACTAGCGTACTAGTGATTGTAGTGGTGGTGGGTTGGTGGGAGCGCTGATAGCAGGGGTTTTGGGGGTGGTTGCAGTGGTGGGGGTGGTGTGGTGGTGGCAATGGTAGTGGTAACATGGTGGAGGTGATGATGGCAAGGTAGTGTGATGGCATTGATAAGACCTTTGTCTGAAAAATATTTTCTATCTTTCAAAAGTGAAAAAAATTTTCAGCCCAAATAAGCTTTTTTCCGGTTGACTTTCATTTTCCATTGTACTAAATGCCAGAAAATGAGAAAAACCCAAACAAATGGAGCGTATATGCATGGGAAAGGGAATTTCACACCAAAGAATGAAGTAACATTATTGAAACAGGCTTCCACTAGCACAAATCGGAATGTACTAGACTTTCATTGAAAGTTGTTTTGATGAACCATTATTGTAAATTGTCATATGAACATTCCTTACATCCTATTACAAAATTTTCCACCTAATTTAGGGAGACTATATCTATGTTGCATTTTCATTAGAACTGAGTAACCTGACTTCGTGCCATCTAATATTTTCGCCATGTTATTCCATCCAAGTTAAATAGAAAACATCCAAGAATCCCAAGGATAATGCATGAAATTTCCTTGTTCAAAATTCCACAATTCTCCATCCAAACTAATAATACTTGCATCTTATACTCAACAAAGTTGTCAACCTTCCAAATGCATTATCTAAGTACCTAGACAACAATCAATATTTTTGTTAAAGTTTACCAGTGCAACTATCTTCGAAAATTTCACAATGTTTAATCCAAGTCAGACTTCAACCCAAACTATTTGTGACACCCAGTAATCTAGGAATTCTGAATTCAAGTGACATATCCTTCCAATACATGATTACAATAATCACTAAGGAAAGTAATTCAAACGGTATTACTTAGATGAACCGAATCCAAAGGTTGATGATGTTCGGTATGTAAAGCATGTGCAACCTCTGCTTATAAATTTATAATATCCCATCTGCACAGTTGGAGTAGCTTGGATAAAAAAATACGCTCGACTACCATCAAGAAAATTAAGGCTTGAATAAATAAAAAAAACAATGCAACTATTTTTATCCACTTGTTGAGTCAGTCAAAACAAGGGATCATTAACTGTAGCAAGTGCATATTACAATATCAACGTTCACCATTTAGTCCTTGATTTCAGCTCAAAGAACACAATGACGTGGTTATTTTCATATCCCCATATAACATGGTGCTGAAAATGTACAAAATAGAAGAAGATATTAAGCCACATTAAGATTTCCCGTGAACATCATGAAAATATCAAAAACCCCATTTTCTAGAACAAAATATAATATATACAACACATTAAATTACGTACATCAAATTTTTCTATCTTTTTTCACTCAAATTGAATTTCATGCTTCCATTTGAATGTCTTCTCCAGCTACTATTTATGTGTTGCTAACAATGATTAAGGCAACTTTTCAACGTTGCTCGCTCAACATATTTTCAGCTTTTTATCTTATAGAACGTATCTGTACGACAATTGAAGAGAATTCTTCAAAAGTGTAAATAAGTATATAAATATTCCCTCAGTGTGCATATAATCCAAGCTAGTCTAAGAGGTAAAAAATAACAACAATAAATAATGGAAAACCAAAGCAAGAAAAAGTAAGTCAAAAATTTAAATCTTACAATCATATTGCTCATCAATATTGCACTGAGAAAGGGAAAGAAGCTACAAAAGCATCATGAAATCAAAAGTTCAGCTAAAAGACAAAAGAGACATGCAAGGACAATTGGCACGACTGCTAGAGTCTTACAGTTATCAGTCTGCAAGTTATGACATTATTAAGGCACCGCAAAACGCAGGATTTGAAACAAGAAGTTCTGACAAAAATACTCTACACCTCCTTTTGGAACACAAGGTCCCCTGATCTATCTATGTTCTCATTGCCATTATTCAGCACATGCAATACTTCTCTTCTGAGTTTGATCACCTACGCTTTGGTTTTTACCATCCTGTTGGTTTTCTAAAATTGTAAAACAAAAATACTATTGCGGGTTTCATTTTCTAAGACATTTTTTAAAAGATTCCAAAAAAGTAACAAAACCATAATCTTTTGACCCCAACATCATGATAAGTTGCGTTACATGGACATTTTTACTTCCCCAAATGCCAGATATGACAAGGATAAGAGTATGAGACATATGTCTGACACCCATATTTAATTTAGACATAATTTTTTACGACGTTTGAAGAAGAAGAAAAATCACATTTGCATTGCAGATAAAGAAACGTTTCTAGCTTGACATGGATGAGAGAGAAAATTTCTATATTTTCTCTAATTCTTATCTAATTTCAATTATATTTCTACATAATTATACAGTATAATATGTATATATTTATGTCTGAGATTTAGATTTATGCAGGTTTGAGTTCACGGAACATACATGATAAGTACGGCACAAACCGTAACCTTTCATACAAAACGTCCAATCACATTCCAACTAAATAAACAAAAAATAAAAATAAAAAGGCCCAATTCTAACATGACTAGTTGATTTATGCACAAGTCATAAGAAAATCCCACTAGCACACGCACTAATTGGTGTGTGTTTTGATTTATTTGCAATGGCAAAAACTACATATAAACACAGACACACATGTGAGTATACTAGACAAAGATCAACATTCAACATAAGAAACAGAGTATCTATTGACAATTTAGATAGAATGCATAATAATAATTGAAAGAATTGATATAGTACCAGACCCAACAAAGCATAGTAATCATCGGCAACGGCCTCCGATCGCGCCGAGTCCCCTGTCGCAACCCTGACTCTGCCAAACCCTTTTCGCCTTCTTCCATGGGCGATCATTCTCCAACTGACACTGTTGTTGGCAAGCAAGGCCCATCCACTTCTTGGACAGAAACTCTGTAATGGGTTTTGGAATTTGAGAGGGTCTGTGCACACTGGTGACAACAATTGAGCCATTGAAGCATGTAAGGAAAAGAATAGTGAGCAAGTGTTTTGTTTTGTAAAGCTGTGTGTGGTGGGGGGAGAGAGAGAATGGATGAAATCACAAGAGTTGAGATTTTTTGTGGGTTTTAATGGGAATATTTGAAATTCTGAGGAGGACAATTTTTGGAGTGAGGAGAGAGTAGTGCTGAGATGGCAAATTGTAGACCATGAATTTTCCAGGAATCTGGATGCGAGTTGTTTGCCTGGTTCGGGCACGTGTCACCTCGTGAATAGCTGTGTCTTGCACTCTTCATGCGGTCCTTTTAGTCAACACCAGCAAGCAAGAAATGAATGAAAAATTATCGCATGTTACTTAGCATCTCTTAAATATGTGTATTTATTTAAATAACCCATACCAAAAAGTCAAAGATTCTCTTTTCTCTCTACTTTTTGCACATCTTTTCGTAATTAGCCAAAAAGTCATCCCAAACATACAAGTTTTTTTTACCTACCTTTTTAGCCAAATAGCCAAAAAGTTACTAAATTAGCCTGTTCCCAAACAAGGCCTTAGCATCTCTTAAATATGTGTATTTATTTAAATTATTTTATTGTGTTTGATTTTATAATTATTTTTTATTAAAATATAAAAAAGAAATAATAATGTCATAATAATATCATATGTATCTCTAATTATATTATTTTATTATTTAATTATGATCAATTTTTTTCTTCAATTATGACTTTATTTTAATTATAATCAATGAATTTTTTAATTATGTCTCATGTGATATTTGATTATAATATAATTTAAAAAATATAAAATTATATTATTTTTTTAATTATAAAATGTATATGAACCATAATCTTTCCTCTATGACCATAAATTGTGGTATTGACATTTTTGGGGTGTAGCACTATGAGGTGTGATTTTATTGAAATCTTTTTATTCTAGTTTTTGTTTGTTTCTTTCTTTTTTTTAGGAGGGGGTGGTTATAAGAGTCCCAATCTTCTGTCATTCTTTCCTGTAGTGTCTCCTGTTATAGTTTAAAACGGCGTCATTTTGATTTTTTTACTTTTTTATTTTTTGGGATACTTACGTATAGGTCTTAGTAAGTGGACTTATTATCTAATAGGTCTTATGGAAAAAATTTATCATAAAAAAATTTACTAATTATAAGTTTTAGTAACAATTTATAAAAATCATGACAAAAAAAGTCACTAATTGTTAATTTTTAACGACGTTTGTAAAAAATTGTTACAAAAAAATTATTTTTAGCGACAATTTTATCAAGATTTATTTTCAATAGCACTTGATGGGAATTAAGTCCAACTATTAGGACCTATTGATAGTTTACCTTTATTTTTTTTCCCTCTCCTCCCTTTTTCCTTTCTATTTCATTTGAACCCTTACCTGTTGACAGAGGTAGAGGTGAGGTCCTGCAATATTCATTCTTACCTGCTATTGTTGATTGCAATATGCTTCAAGAGTGATCTAACCAAACCAAATATTTTGACTTTAGATTGTTTGTATCAAACCCCATAATGTGAGAAAGTTAAAGGACGGCGTCGGCGGCGAGAAGTGTGATTCGAAGATTTGTCATTGAATTTGATTTTGAATATCAATCAAGAAAAGAAAATAAGCTCAATCTGAGATTGAGAAGATATGACCCAAACATGATAAACAACAACAAATAATCGAATAAGTGTTTGGGATAAACAATAGATAATCAAATAGATAGGTATATTTTATGATGAATATCACCGGGGAAAAAAAAAAAACTAAAAATCCATTTATGATCTACGCATTATTCGAACTATTTCTGATGAATATCAATCAAAAATTTTTTTTTTTTTTTTAAAAAAAAAAGAAAACCAAAAACCTAGAAACCCATTTTCGATCTTCGCATTCATCGGAATATTTCTGGCGAGCAATGGAAGAGTGGGGGGAGAGTAGGGACAAGTGTGAGCTCCTTCACCTCTTCAAATGGCTCGAACAATACACCGATGAGAGGCTGACTATCCGAGCACTTGGAAGCGCAAACCAAAAACCCATTTCTGATCTTTGCTTTCGAAGAAACCCCAAAACAGAAGATGCAAAATTCAGCAAAAAAGACGAAGCCGAGGACCCAAGTGGATGTACTCTGTCGTAGCTGACTCGTTGCCTCAGTTGTAGCCCACTCGCCTCCTCGCGTTGCAGTCGTTGCTTGCACCTACTACTTTGTTTCACCTCTCCTCTGTCAACAGGTAAGGGTTCGAGCAAACGAGATAGAAAGGAAAAGGGGAGGAGAAAAGAAAGAAGGAAAAAAAAAATTAATCAAAACGACGCCATTTTGAACCATGGCAAGGGACGTCGCAAGAAAGAACGACAGAGGATCCGGACTCGGGGTTATAAAACTTTAGCAGTGTAAATTTTATATAAATGGGAGGGGGGGTGTTATAAACTTTAGCAATGTAAATTTTATATAAATGCTTTTTATTTTTTAAGTATTTTTTTTAATTTTTAAATACAGTTAAATTAATTAATATTAACAATTTTAAAGGTAAATTGCATTCTTTAAAATTTCAAGAACATCCTGTTCATAATTAGATTCTTAGCCGTAACCAGATGACTTTTGAGAATCAACAAAACCACCTAATAAGATTCAAGAGGCTTTTCAATTCTCTCTATCCCATCATAAAGGCTCTATTTGGTAAACCTCTTAAATTATAGTTTTATCCATTAATTTAAGTGTATTGTTTGTTTTGAACTTTCAAATCATAATTCTACACCCATTTCTCAAAACTCAATTCAAAACATAATCATTACTTTTCAAAACTCATAACCAAACAAATAATTCAAAACTCTTTTCAAAACTCAATTCAAATCAATATTTTAATTTTTTAAAGATTTTAAATATTTTAATATTTAAATATGTTACGATTTTTTTAATTTTTTAATTTTTTGAATATTTTTAAATATTTTAATTTCAAAATATTATGATTTTAATTTTTTAAAATTTAAAATATTTTATAAAAATAAATTCAAACTCTATTTTATAAAAATATTTTTAAATATTTTAATTTTTTTGTTATGTATTTGGTTACGATTTGAGTGTAGAGTTGTGAAAGTAGTATGGAGTTTCGAGTTATGTGTTTGGTTATGAGTTTTAAAAATAATTTTTTAATTGAGTTTTGTTTTATGTGTTTGGTTACGATTTGAGTGTAGAGTTGTTTTTAAATTTAAAATATTAACATTTTAAATTATTTAAATTTTTTGAATATTTAAATTTTAAAATATTAACATTTTAAAGTATTTAAATTTTTTGAATATTTAAATTATTTAAATTTTTACGATTTAAAATTTTTGAATATTTATTGTAATTTTTTACTTATTAAATTTTTTAGATTATTTAAATATTTATGATTTAAATTTTTTGCATATTTATTTTGAAAAAAAATTATTTCCTTTGTAGTATTTTCAATTAAAAAATTGATTAATGTTATTTTCTGTTAATAATAATTTTTTTAATTGAATTTTAAAAATAGTTTGGTTATAAGTGTTGATCAGAATTTTCAATAATGTGAAAGTAATGTGTTTTATTATGAGTTATAACAATTTGAATTAAGTTTTGAAAACTCTTTCCAAAACTCATAACCAAACAAACTTTCTTACTTCACATGTCAAATCAAACTTTCAAAACTCAATTCCACACTCAATTCAAAACTCAATTCAACACTCTATTCAAAAACCATAACCAAACAAATTTTCTACACTCAAATCATAATTCCATAACTCACAAACTCAAAATACAACTCATACTCTCAAATCATATTTACAAAACTCTACCAAACGCAACCAAAATCTTTTGACCCCGTGTGTTTTTAGAGGTAAAATGGAAAAGATTTATAATGAGAAAATTATGTAAAATTATATTTGTGTTGATAATAGTTGTTGGTAGAGGGATTATTAAATTATTTTTATATAAAATAAACATAAAATAATAAAACAAATACAAAAATATAAAAATATTAAACATTAAATATTAATGTTCAAAAAAAAATGTCCAACACGAAAAAAATTAAAAGGACTATTTTTCTAATACCACCTCCACATCTACCTCTTCCATCCCAATCCCCTTTCCAAGGGTCAACCTAATCCGAACTTCCATCTCAATCTGTTTTTTAAATCTACAAACAAACACAACATTAAATGGGTCATACTTCTATTTTAATCTCATCCCTACCTCTATACCCAAAACAAACGGGGCCGTTAACTTTTTAGATAAATACACTTCTTAGGCTTCGTTTGGGAAGAATGAGTTGGGTGGATTTGGGACTATTTTAGCAAAAAAAAATAAAATAAATTTTTTGATTCAATAAGACAAAGTATCACATCTAACTCATATTCATATTATATTCTTTCTCTTACAAAAAGTCAAAAGGTCTTTTCCAAACTGAGACTTTTTTTTATCTCAATCTAAAATAATTAAAATGTCAAAAAGTCAATCCACTTCCCAAATAAAAAATTATAATTACAATAATGTTAGAGATTAAAAAAAAAAAACTATCAAAAAATTTACCAAATATTTGATTGGACGGACACGTGTCACCACGTGAATAGTTGTTTCATGCACGATTCAATGGGTCCTTGCCAACGAGAAGAAGTTTTTCTTGACTTGTGCAAGAAAATGAAGCCCAAAAAACAAAAAAAAATAAAATATAAAAAAAAAAAAGGAAAAGTGTAAGAAAATCACGGCTAACATGTCCAAGGATATCTGTGCGCATTTATCAGTTTGGACCTTGATTTTTTTTTTATTTAGTTTTACGAGTAATGTGAAATATAAATAAGAGTTTAGTTTTGATAATTTTTATAAAAATCTATTTAATTACAAAATTTTTACTAGAAATGGATTGTATTACCAGATTTTATAGTCGCTATCTAATGTTTTGTAAAAATTAGGAAACCCGTGACTCGTATCAAGGCTACTCTTCGTCGTGACCAAAGATACTTTGTTCGGAATCTTAGGTATAAGAGGGGAATATTATTATTGAGCACCTCGCTCACCCAATCAAAAGATCGGCCCCTACTAAACCATGATATGAATTTGTCACATCACCTCTCTAACACATCACTTCAAACCCAACCCAAAC